CTGTCTATAGTTGACCCAGTTTAACACAGAAAATATTTAACTTTAAGGAAAGAAAATTTGTACTGGTAACCTATTGCCAGTTTTTTCCTTTTATTTATAAATTAAGGGGCGCCTGGGTGGCTCAGTTGGTTAAGCATCTGTCTTCGGCTCAGATCATGATCCCAGGATCCTGGGATAGAGCTCCACTTCAGGCTCCCTGCTTAGTGGGGAGCCTGCTTCTCCCTCTGCCCTCTCCCAGTCCCCCTGCTTGTGCTCTCTCCCTCACCCTCTCTGTCAAATAAATAAATAAAATCTTTAAAAAAAAACAAGTTAGGATTTTTTTCTTATTGAGCTGAATTTTTTTGTGTGTGTGATTTCGTCTCTTCTTTACTGGGTGGGAAGACAAAATCAAGTGTGACTTATATTTAGTACTACTAATCTTTGGTCTGAAAAAAGGGACAGATCCATAGTAGCACATTCTCTTGAACACTTCAAAAGTGATGTCAGTAGCATTTAACAGAGACTAGAACCTGCCAAATTCCTACACAGTTCTAATTTACATTTAATATTAAGTGGCAAGTTCATAGACATATAAACAGCTATATGGAAATGTGAATATTTTCATTTTTATATGAGGGATTCTTTCCCTTTCCCACCTTAGCTAATTTTTTTTTGTGTAACTGGCTTAGGAAGTCTGTGCAGATCAAACAGGGTTTGGGATTGAGATGGTTTTTACTGCAAGAGGAGAACATTCACTTCATTACAGGCCCCCAGGCATGCAGAAGACGATCCTCAGTAGGACAGTAACCAATACACTTCATTTTCGTGAAAATTCAAATAAAAGATGATGGTATTTGGAAGTCCACTTTTGACAGGGAAAAAAATACACTTTGGCTGCAGAGCTTAGATGCTAGAACATGATACTAAGAGGAATATCTTCTTTATTTGTTAGACTTTAAAAATGTTCAATTTATTACCTCAGGGTTCAGTATCAAATTAAAAATAGATAAATGGAGACTTTAATAGTAGCCATCTGGGGCGCCTGGGTGGCTCAGTTGGTTAAGCGACTGCCTTCGGCTCAGGTCATGATCCCGGAGTCCCTGGATCGAGTCCCGCATCGGGCTCCCTGCTCGGCAGGGAGCCTGCTTCTCCCTCTGATCCTCCCCCCCTCTCATGTGCTCTCTCTCTCTCTCTCATTCTCTCTGTCTCAAATAAATAAATAAAATCTTTAAAAAAAAAATAATAGCCATCTGTATGGAGAGTTTTTACTTGGTTTCTCTGGAGAGGAAGGATGGCTTAGATTATCTTTGAATGTCTCTTTTAGATATTTCATGAGGAGAATGCTGTGGTTAGGGTGGGAAGATACAAGTTATGTGTGCAGATAATCTAAGAGTTTCAGTGAAGTGTTGAAGACTGGGATAGGGGAATGAAGCATTTGAAAGTTGGAGAAGACAGATAGCCTGCAAAGATTGCGAAGGAACTGAAAAGTCATTTGGGTAAAGGTGTTTAGAATAAAATAAACAGGCAGGGGGTCTGTTAATGACCACAAAAAATTATCTCAACTATGAATATGTAAGCAACTATAGTACATTACTGCTTATGATATAGTGTTGTTATGAGACTATAAGTAAAAGTGAACCAATATATAAATTTGGATGTATTGAGGGACACCTGGATGGCTCAGTCGGTTAAATGGCTGCCTTCGGCTCAGGTCATGATCCCAGGGTCCTGGGACCCAGCCCCACGTCAGGCTCCCTGCTCAGCGGGGACCCTGTTTCACCCTCTGCCTGCCACTCTCCCCCCTGTAGTCTCTCTCTCTGACAAATAAATAAATAAATAAAAATAAAATCTTAAAAAAATAAATTTGGATGTATTGAAAGTGACAGGTATCATCGGAGTTTTAATGTGAAATTAAACTGTGCTTGTCTCTTAAGGTGTAATATGGTGTGAGAAGGTTATAGACAACCAGAGAGTGCTTACATCTAATGGACTGGAAATGAGTCACTAATAGTGAATAATTGGACATAGTTGGAGCCAAAGGGCCTGGGAGAAAGCTGAAATATACGAAGAACAAACAATGCCCCTGGTAAAATGTACTCACTGTAAATCATGGAGAAATCTTCGTTATATTTCACATCTTTGAAGAAAGAATTCCAAATGTCAAACACATCTGATATATACTGTACTTAATACCAGGCGACAAATGTCTGACTTAGAAGGGCCATTGACTAGTTTCTGTAAGTAGTGCAATCCTCTCAAACTGAGATATGTCACTGACAGAGCCATTGGTGTTTCCCCACATAAAATTAGCTGGATTGTGTGGATTTCAACAGTAGTGGTGTTACGGGTGAGAGAGAGTCTGTTGTGTGAATGGAGGTCTCAGTCCTTGGATTCCCCAGAAGATTTATGTGGGGATCTGCACTCCAATAAAGACAGCCAGAAGGAAAGTAGCAAGCACAAAGCAGTTCATTAAAGGGAATGAATACTCTCAAGGTGGGAGAGGGGGCAGATTCTGAGAGGTGGAACCTGCCCCTAGGTTGTTTTGGGATTGGGTATTACTGGGTCTCTCAGGGTGGGGAGGAGCTATGACTTACTGTGGGGTGGTCTCTAATGGAGGCTGCTTCCAGTCATTTGGGTAACTCCTCCTACAGGTTGGGAGGGGGAGTTTGACCCTATGAGGTTTATGCCAGAACCTTCTTGGCAGCCTTCTCCTTGGGGGGGAAGGGAGGCTGTATCCATAATGCAAATGCATTATAATGAACCTAGGGGTTACCCTGTGGCAGAGGTGGAGGAAGAGAGGGCATGTTCTGCACCTGTGGCTCTTGATCTGTCTGCCCCAAGGTCTTGGAAGCCACAAGGTCAGGATGTCATGCCCCTGGGGCTTTTAATGTGTAGCTTATTTATCACTGTCCTTGCCTCCCCCTCCTGTCTCTGTCATTCCCCTCCAAGGATTTGGGACTCTGCCTTAGGGATATTCCTTCTACTGCTCGAGTCTAGCTTCTGCCTATCAGTGGGCAGTGAGGCAGTGGGCAGTGAGGGTTCCGCCTTGAGGGGTAAGCAGGAATGTAGTACAATTTTCAAGTGTCTCCCAAAGGAGATCTTCTCACCATGAGGTTTTTTCAGTGAGAAGTTACAAATTTCCATAGCTTCACACTTCAACATGTGAGAGATAAATAGTAGGTGTTTATAGTCCTAAATTCTTCTTTTAGCAATTATAATATCAAATTTCAGATTTATAATTAAGCAATTATAATATAAAATATCAAATTATAATATTAAATAATAAATTCCTCCTCAGTGAGGTCTGGCATCTCATTAGTGAGATTTTTAAATGATTATTGAGGATGCTTTGGCATTGAAGAAAACAGGAATTGTTTGAGAAACATGGCAGTGAATCTATAAGGTAGTAGGAACAGGCAAACTATTTCTTCTGGACAATAGATGCTAAAATCCTGACATAAAAGTTTTTGTAGTGCGTGTAGCAGATTTTTCAATGTAAGTTTTTGGGGGTAACGTGACCTCTGTAGATGGCTTTCCTAGTCTGTACATCAGTGTGTGACTGGGCCTGTGTAGTCTGATCTGGATGCCCCTCGTTTTTTTGGTTGGCTCCTTCTGTTCCACTCCCAGAGCCTTTCTCTTTGCCTTTTCTGTGCTGTTCCGTCCTCCTGGGAGCACTCTCTCCAGCCCTCCACTGGCCACTGGCCGGCGCCTGCTTTCTTTAGAGCTCTTCTCAGGTCACCTCATCAGACAGACTATGCCCGACCCTCTTCTCTGAGATTGCTCTGCTCTGCTCAGTCTGCTTCTTCTAGCTCTGCATTAGTTGTCTTCACAGCTCTTCTCTTTACCTGAAGTTATATTCTATGCTTGTTTGTTCTTAAGTGCTGCGACGTTAAGCTTCATCTGTCTTGTTCACTGAAAGAGTCCCAGAGACTGAAGCTGTACCTGGCCCATGGCAGGAACTCAAGAGATTATGTCCAGGGAATGCATGATTGTCCAAATGTATCATGAAAATACATACCTTAGTAGGCTGGTTGTGCTGTATTTTATTAAATAAGATTTTGGAAATGGAGAATTTGTTTATCCCCACCCAAGTCTGCAAGGGTGAATTTATGTTCTTATATTTGTGTTACTTGGTGTTAGAGATCTGAAGTGCTAATCACTCATTTCCTTCTTTCCTCCTCCCCTGGATTTCAATTGAATATAAACACAGAGCGAGTTGAATGGAGATTGATATATGCATTATTAAACTGAGCAGTGCCTGATAACCTACAGTGTGGGGGCTTTGGAGAAGCTCCATTTGAAGCAACTTGGATTCACGAATGTCCAATGGACTACCCACTGTGTTGGCAGTCACCTCCCTCCCTCCAACCGAATCTTGAGTGGGTCTGACCAGGAGGCTTTATGGCATGAAACACAAGGCAGAGGGCCCACCATCCTCAGCAAGCCATGAACAGGCCATGAAAAGACAAAATGGAACCTGTTTTATTCATCAACTAGTTAAAATTGTGAAAATGTGGCTCAGTGGATGTCAGCTTCCATTGGTTTCATTAGCAAGTTCTCCTCATATGGAAATGATTCAGTAAACAGGTGGAGAGAGAAATTGAAAGGATTGCTCGAGCTCCACCCCCCTCAACTGGGAACAAAGCAGTATCACCCTCCTCTGTGGAAAAAAAGGGGACAGGTTGCAATTACGGTTATCCCCTGAGTGATTGCAGTTGCAACACATATATTAAAATATACCCACAAACAAATAATTTTAACCAGAAAAGAGCTATCAACACAGGATGTTTCTGAGAGTTGCTTGCAATTGTGAGTCATCTAGACATCTGCCAAATAAAATAGGAGGCTCTGTTTGTACGTATGTTTAAGGGGAAGAGTGGATGTTAATCCAGCATCATTTCAGCACCTGTCAATAAGAAAGGTATATACTTATGAAAAAAAATACCATATCCTACCCTTAATATGTTTAGTATAACTAATACTGACTTCAGGTACAAACTCAGGAGCTTTTTATGTTTCAGGTTCGTGGGAGTAATGGAGAAGTTCTATACATATTGGATGCCACCAACCCACGACACTCCAACTGGCTTCGCTTTGTTCATGAGGCACCATCTCAGGAGCAGAAGAACTTGGCTGCCATTCAAGTGAGCTTATTTGTTTCTTATTTGTACTATGCACTGTGAGGGGAATGAACTAATTTATAACTGCACTCCCTGTTTTAAATTTATTCCCAGTGATCTGCTTCAAATAACAGTAACTAACTCGTAAAGCAGAGAAATCTCTTCATTCAGCATATACAGGAAAGGGGCAAGTCTGGTTGTAAATTGACACCAGATCACTCTCTTTATGAGAATTCTTGGGGGAATGAGTTACATGGTCTGATATTGTCCTTGACAGGTCTTGTTTTCAAGTACTTATAATTTATTCAGTGAACATTTATTGATGGTTTCTTTATTTGATCGTTTATTTGGCTCATAGTACAGTATTCTGTGTCATTGTTTGGGAAAGGCTTCATGGAGAAGGTTTACTTGGGTATATCCCCATGCCTGGATTTTGAGCTTCTTGAGGATAGTGTATTAGTCAGGGTTTTCCAGAGAAGTAGAACCAATAGGATCTATATATCTATATCTATATATCTATATCTGTATCTAAATCTAAATCTGTCAGAGAGAGATTTATTCTAAGGAATTGGCTTATGTGGTTATGGAAGAGTCTAGCCAAATCCAAAGTCTGCAGAGCTAATGTCACGCTTTGAGTCTAGAGGCCACGGGCTGCTGTAGAACAAGGAAGAACCAATTTCCCACTTCACATGCCATTAGGCTGGAAGAACAGATATTCCAGTTTGAAGCTCATCAAGCAGGAGAATTCTCTTATTTGGGGGAGGGTCACCCTGTTGTTCTGTTCAGGCCTTCAACTGCCTGGATGAGGCTCACCCACACTGTGGAGGGCAATTTCTTTCACTCAAGTCCATCTATTTAAGTGTTATTTTCATGCCAAAACACCGTCACAGAAACACCCGGAATGATGTTTGAACAACTATCTGGGAATCCCATTGCCCAGTCAAGTTAACACATGAAATTAACCGTCCTAAGTAGAAACCGTATTTTATTGAATTCTGTATCCCTCTATCCTAGTATAGTGCTGCACATAACATTGGGCTCTGATAGAAACTATGATTGAACTTAGGTGATTCCTTAGTAGAAATTAGGCCGAGAAGAGAAAAAGTTAAGGCAATAAGTTTTTAGAGGGGTCCTCTAATTAAAACTCTTTGATCAGATGATTAACAGAACAAAGAAACATTGCATTCTTTTGGGAAATTGGCTGATCGCATGTGAAAACACAGCTCCTGGTTCCTAAACTGCAAAAGAAGAAGCAAAGCTATGGTTGGCAGAAATAAGAGAGAAGGAAAAGAATAAGGGAACTAATGTTTCCTTAAGTTTTTACCATGTGTCCCGTTCTAGAAGCTTCATAAACGTCATGTCATTTACGCAAATCAGAAAAACTCTTAAGTTTAATAATTTGCTGAGGCTTGTGCTGATTTCACTCAATTATGAGTGTAAACCAACAGTCACAAGAGGGAAAATGCACAGAATTAGGTTTTAGAGTAACCAGAAAAGATCGTCATCTAGAATATAACATTTCCTGATGTTATTTGCTAACCAATGTTTTTTTCAGTACAAATAAGTATCGGATGACCAGTGTGATTACTGTCTTTTTTTGTCTGGATAAATGAGAGATGCCTCTTACGATCAGGCTACGTTGGGCTGGAAAAGAGGATCTTTCGGCAGTTAGAGATATTCAAGTCATTTTTCAGATTATCCATGACATACATTGATCCAACCACAGATGTCAACTGATCTTTTTAAATGTGTAGACATTAACTTTTTTTCAAGTATTTTGTATTTTTTTTCGTGGTTTCCTGATGCAGTCATTTCACAGCATCCCCAGTTACCTCATAATTTTAATCTACAGACTCAGTTTTAGTGTTTCCTTGTGAATGTTACCGCTATCAAAAAGCCTACAGACCCATGAAATTTACTTTAGGCAAACCCATTGTGTTGTGTTGTTTCTTTATTATTGCGTTTTAGAGAATGTTATTCTATTTAAACTAGATTCTTTTCTCCTTATGCTTAAATGATAACTTTCACCTTTGCTCAGATGCCTTGTGTTCGAGACATTTCTTCCTATTGGCTGTTATTTCTGTAGCACCAGTAACTCTCTCCATTCGCCCAGCTTCCAAGGTGTCTCCCGCTCAGCTTTGAGTTTTGTGTCAGGCTCTCTCAGATAAGCCTTGTCGAAGAGTTCCCTTTCACTGTACATTTTGCTTGTAATGATCCCTTTAGGTAATGGACTACTATGTCAGTAGGTGTTTATCTCCATCTTCTCTTAACCCACATTCGCACCTCCATGCCCTATTACTTTATTTCATTATATAGGACCACCTGCATGTCTCTCTTTTTTAGTCACCGCAGTTGCTAAGACTTAGACAGTTCTCATGTTCATTTGGGTCTTCAGTACAGTACTGTTCTTCCGCTAGGTCAGCTGTGCTTCTTTCCTTGAAAGAAAGAAGGAATCTATGAGGGATGACTGTTGCAACTTTGATACTCCCAGAAATTATTATTTGATTTAAGAGGAGGTGAAGCAGGATGGGATTAGAAGAGGATTCATAAACTAATTAGAGGCTCTGTGAAATTTCACCCTCAAATTTAATTAGAATCTGTTTGGAGGCCACTGGGAGAGTCTTTTGGTGCACAAGTGATGACAGTGCCTTTAATTTCTTTTAACATAGTTTTGGCCTTTCTTTAGAGGGGGGTGAGTGCACTCTAACCATGTTACTTGCCATGGAGCACAGTATGGATCTTTGGTAGCTCCCTTGGTGGAGCGTCTGTTTTACTTGAACGGTAGCTGGAGTAGCAGAACGTTCAGGGTTCAAAATCACATCTGAGCTAGGGGCAGAGGACATAATAGTTGGGTCACAAGGCTGACGGTGATGTCAGCCTTCTGATTTGTTGGGATAATCTCCTGAGGGTTGCATTCCAGAAACATTGAGTTGGTAGGAGAAGATCATAATGTTTCCTGCATAACATTATGAATCACTTACATTCCAAATTGTATCTGAAATTTGGGGTATTCAGGAAATTTTTTATTTGAGCTGTATGTCCCAGGAGTGGAGTAAATGAGAAACATTTGTGGCTATGTGGCTTGCTTGGTGGAAAACGTCAATACTTGGTCCAATTTTTTTGGACAAGGGATTAAGAATTTGAGGTCTGTTTGGCAGAGGATTGGAACTCTATTTTTTAGAGACTTAGTTTACTTGTAGTTTTGCAATTTATTTGATTTTGGAAAATTTGCTTTGGAAATGATGATTTAAATATATGAATTATTGAAGGATCTCGTAAGCAAAACAATTCTTCCCACATGCACACATTTCAGAATAATTAGTTGAACTGTATGTTTAGACTTCTGAAAAATATTTCCAACTGAACCAGAAAATTCTAACCGTGAAAGATGTGGCTTAAAATGAACCAAAAGAATTCTTAGACCCCATAAAAAATGGGTGATTCTTATTAAATATTAATTTTATTACAGCAAAGGAAAAAAATGTAATATTTGAAAAAATATTTGACCTACTCAGGGTTTTACAGGATTTTAAAAATTTCTGCTCTTTTCATAGAAAATTATTTATTTAGGTACAGAATTTTGTCATTCAAAGTTGACACTGAATTCTTGGGAAATTTCAGAGATATATTTAAGGACATATCTCCAGGCATCCCTTCCCTGGGACTTTTTTTGCAGTATATTATCAATATAAATGAAAAGGTGGCTTGGTGTTATAAGAAAAAGGAGCATGTGGAAAAACATTTGGGTTTTGGTACACCTCACGAGGGATGTCAGGTTGTGGGGATGGCCTAAATAAGTTGAGAGAGCACTAGGTATTGAGCCAAACTTGTGATGTCAGCACGGCTTTGTCCCAATTCTGATGTCAGTTTAGTTTTCCTGTTACCAGGAGAGCTATTTTATTACACATTATTATCTCTCCTTCCTCTGCCTTGTGCGAGGATGGACAGTCTTAGGCAGTCTATCCTGGAGTCTTCTGGTGACATATGATATTTCAAAATGGCAGAGCTGGAAGATCAGATGTGGATTCCCTAGGAGAGAAGCAACTTGAATGTTTTTAAAGCACAGACAAGACTTTCTCTGTTGTCATCAAGACACTGAGATCCACAGGTGTCTTTTTTTTTTTTTTTAAAGATTTTATTTATTTATTTGAGAGAGAGCAAATGAGAGAGAGCACATGAGAGAGGGGAGGGTCAGAGGGAGAGGCAGACTCCCCGCCGAGCAGGGAGCCCGATGTGGGACTCGATCCAGGGACTCCAGGATCATGACCTGAGCTGAAGGCAGTCGCTTAACCAACTGAGCCACCCAGGCGCCCCACAGGTGTCTTAAATGGTGTTGATGCAGCATTCAAATTGCAGTCTTATCAACCTAGCAACCAAGCAACCAAAAAAAGAAAAAAGAAAAAAAAAGAAATATCAAAAGGATTTTTCATTTATACCTAAAATTATAGTTTTCTCTAATTCAGTTTCTTCTCTATTTCTGTTTCTTCCTATCAGATTTATATAAATGACATTTTTAGATTTTTCTAGAATCTATTACAGAATATTAATTGCAACTGTCTAATGAGTTCTTCAGTAACACCACAGAAGTATCAGTTAAATAACTTGCAGACTTTTTAATGGATTGCCTTATAGCAAAGTACATACTTGTCTTTCAGTAGGTAAAAGTTTAAACTGAAGTACAATTACAAGCAGTTGGTCCTATGAAGTTTTAAATACTAGCCCTACTGTGGCCACATATTCTTGTGGGGAGTAGAGGAATTATTGTATTACTTAGCAACTTATTATTTTAATTCAGATTGTAGTTTATCGGCAGGTCAAATGAGTATTTATAGAAATACCCTTAAGTTATGTATAGTGATAACCTTGAAATATATCAGTTAATCCTTAATAATGATGATGGCGATGGTAGCTAACACTTACCGAATACTTAACTATGTGCCAATAAGTGGTTATGTGTATTACAACCTTAATACTTACCATGATCCTATAAGGAAGGTGCTATAATTGTTGCCTCCCTTTGTCAA